CGGGACGCGAACCGTGGTCGACTTCGTGGGAGTCCAGCAACATAGCCATTATGCTAACTCAGTAAAATGTACTCTTAAAAGAAAAATAGCTGCAAAGAAATCTTGACTCTTGCTTAGTAATAGTATTATCTAGTAATGGTATTAGTGAGTAATTCTGAAGTAATTTTATATTACAGAAGAAAACAAATAAACAAATATATTTAAATTGTTAGGGAGGGAAAACAGAAAAATGCTATGGGGGCCAGGCAGTGGTGTGCTGGCTCAGGCAGCCGGACCCCATGGGCACACTGCACCATTCCAGTCTCAGGCTCAACGGCTTGAGAACGTTCCGGGCCCATGAGTGCAATGCCCCAAATCCCCAAACGAGGAGCAAATGAAGGAGAAGGGACTGCGGCGTGAGTATTCCCATGGCGTGCTCTCTTCACCGTCCCCACAAGTGCATGCACTCTCCTGATGACCTCCAATACGTAAAGATTTTTTTAAGTCCCAGAGAGAATTTGCACTCAGCAGAGAGAGACAGAGTGAGGAAGGGGGAAAGCACCCCCAGTGGGCCACGGTCAGCTGCACCCTTCTCCGGTTCTCCATCCTGCTGGGGTTTGGGTCATGCGTGCACACACACCCAGTGTGTTTCCAAGCCCTCGAGGTAGGGGTTCAAGCAGAGGTCAGCCCTGTGGGTTCTGAATTCCTCAATCAATAGGCTATAGGGCCAGCCCCCAATATTTTTTAAACAGGATAAAAGAAGGATTAAACATAAAGGAAAACACTGATAAACTGAACTTCATCACAATTGAGAGCTTAATGTCCATTAAAAAAATAAAATAAATGCAGGAAGGACCCAACATGGTGCTGCAGACAGCAGGGCACCTCTGGGTCCTCCCCCACCTGGCCCCACTGGCAGGTCCAGGACCCGTGGTCCCAGCAGGCTAGAGGATGGGGGTGGGGTGGTCCAAGTGCAGGACCCTGTCCGGGTCCCTGTCTGTCCCTCCCTCCGTCCCTCTCTCATGGGAATACGTAAGTAACCGTGGCGATGGTGCTCAGCACCCCGCAATGTTCTTGGCTGAGGCTGATGTGTACACGTCCTTCCGTTGTTGACGGTCACGCCGCTGTGAGTAAGCTTTGGAAATCGTGCTGCACTGAACAACGGTGTACCACAATCCAATGTAAATAGGAAATTATAAAATAAATTTAAAAACAGGAATAAAAAGACAAGCTGTAATCTACACATTGTATTTGTAGGAAATATCTCACACGGAACTCTGCAGAACTGACATCCTAAGACACTAATGACAGGGAGCACGCCTGTGTCATGTCTGTAACTATGAGCCAAGATGTACAGAGCTGCTTCGCAGAGAGAGCACCTCACCGAGCGACAGCCGGGGCTCGACTGCGGCCCTCCCCGAGAAAAGTGCGGACCCGTGACGGGCGACTGGGACGGCCGCTGGGGTCCGGTCCTGCCGAGGCTGTGGAGGGGACCTGGCCCCTGTGCACTGCCGACGGGGGCAAACACTGGCATGGGCACCGTGGAGAACAAGGAACCTTGACGGACGCACGGAGCCCCGGGGGGAGTGGGACGGGCCCTGCGCAGCGGTGCCGGTGACAGCTCTACGGTGCAAGGCCACGTGCCCCTACAGCTGGGTCCTACCCGGGGGTGGGGGGTGAGTTCTCGCTTTCTGTCTCTCTGTCTCCCCAGCAAAAACCTCTATTAAAAATAACATAACAAGGACTAACGAGATCGCTTCAAAGTGCTCTGAGAATTGTTTTCAAGATTTTTTTAAAGAATTATTTTAAGTTTATTTATTTAATTTGACCAGAGAGGGAGTGAGTGTGTGTTTGTGTGTGTGTGTGTGTGTGTGTGTGTGTGAGAGAGAGAGAAAGAGAGAGAGAGGGAAAGTGAGAAAGCAAGCCACCAGATCCGGGACTCGAACCAGTCGGCCATGTGGGAGTCCAGTGCCCATAACTACCATGCCACCTGCTGGCCCTTGTTTTCCAGATCTTAAATAAATGGCACAACTATGTGGATAAGCAATTAGGACCATTCATACTCTAATCTCGCTTCAGAAAAAAAATATTTAAGAAATTAGGTCAGCAATACATGTGGGTGATAATAACGGTTAATTAGATATGACTCTCTAAAGCAAGCCTTTCATTTACTTTGAATTGATCTTTCTAAGAGAAATTGTTTTCAACTTAAAAAGTAAGGCGCGTCTGTGTGCAAATCTCCCTGTGTCTGAGGCATGCATGAAAAGCATTATCAGTCAGGCTCACTTGGAAATAATACATTTTCTAGTCTCATCATGAAAAAGCTAAACTCTCAAAACAAAAGAATTTGTACAAACATTAGAAAAAACTTTTGAATTTAGGCTTTTTATATTTATTTAAACGCTTTTCGGTCAAATGCTAAAAAATCCTTCCACACCAACCCATGCTGCATCACCTAATCTTACAGGAAAACGGCTGAGGCAGAGCAAACTCGTCAGCTCACGCCTGAGCAGTAATTCTCAACAGTGACAAGACGAACATCCAATAAAGCAGCCTGAAAAACGAAAACACCTGCGTGATTTTACTATAAAACGTCAACAGCTTCAACTATGATCGTCACTGTGAGCAATGAATAGCTCATTACATTTCCAATGTTTCAGATTTATGTGTTAAATAACCGATCAACGTACCTCATGCAGGACACTACACTACAGTTCTTTGTTCAGACAAAACTTGCTGGTGTAAAACCTCCTGAGTGAAAAGAAAAATTGTGGAAGTACTCCATATACTATAATCTTGTACTAATGGAAATAGAACTTAAAAGCAAGTCACAATTGGCAGCTGTTTTCTGACACATAAGCCATCCACTCATGGAATTAAAGTAACTACTCTAAGAGACAGAGGTGCTCACGAGAAACCCCCCGGGGCCAGCCAGCAGCCCCCAGAGGCTCGGCAGATACACTGACAGGCCCGCCAGAGTCCACGCTCCTGTCCCCACACGAAAACGGCACGCTGTAAGCAACATTTCTAAATCTCAGAAAATAAGATTTGAAACTCTAAAAACCAACATACAAATTTATAATGAAAGTTTCTGATTACTTAACTTCTCACCAATATTTTACCCAAAACTACAGTTTATGCTCTCAATTTTAAAGGTATGTCATTACGTAAGAGGTCACTTTCACGCCCGAAAGCTACAGTTACATATCCTAGGGGACTTCAAAAAGGTTCGTGAAAATGCAGAATTACAGAGATTATTCTGTGAGGAAATCTGAAATCCACAGTGCTTTCACAGTACACATTTCCATGGACTTTCTGAAGATCTCTCATAAGAACAATTATCTCCTTGACTATGTCTGAAAAACTAAAATTCTAATTTTGATGATAACTAGTTTACTTTTTTTTTGGAGAGGTTTTTGCTATAGAGCACATGCACTTGCCAGACAGAGAGACAGAGAGTGAGAGATCACTCCCCCGTTTCCCCGGGCGAGGGCCTCAGATGCACACTGCCATGAACCCAGCTGTGCTGTGGTCATTCCCCAAACGCTCGTCCTCAAGGGCACTTCACCTCTGCGTTTCT